AATTTGGGGGAGCTGAGAACTTAATGACTGAGGTAAAACAAGTAATGAAGGAAAATGTGGCATCTGTGAGTCATCAATATTTGTGTTAATTCACATAATGAAAACAGAGACCATATCCTAGCAATATACTATATAACTAGCAGGGGCAAAGAGCAAAGCTTCAACCCAGTGTACACTTAAGGGATATGTGAATGAAAAGCAATAACAAAGAAAGCAAACGTGTAGTCCGAGAGGTGGTAGAAAGTCACTGAAGTACAGTATCACAAAAGACAAGGGAGAAGTGGCTGTTAAGAAGCAAAATACCAAGTGCTGAAAAGGGTAAGGTAGGATGAGAAATGAAAAGACACACATTTAGCAACTTGGGGGTCAATCTTATCTTGGGGGTGATACAGAGCATTTCAACAGCTTAACCAATGCCTATCTACCTGGTATTGTGAGAAAAGTGGTTTACTTTCACTCGAGAAAGCAGAACTCCAGCAGAAACAATAGTCAAAGGACAGAAGGTGGTTACATACGAGTTAAGAAATTGGACGCTCAGGCTGTAAATCAAACAAGCTTGGTGATGCTGGGGAGGATAAGAGTAGAAGGTGTTTTTCAAGATTACGTGCGATAAGGCAAACCACCCAGTACACAGCATAAGGAGGAATATACGGAAAATAGCCAAGTTCGAGAGACGGGAAGAAAGGTCAGATGAAGAATACAGACGTTCCCTCTCTAAGGAAATAAAAACATTCTGTTCTTTGAGTAAAGATAGACTAAAGAAAGAGACAGGACAGAATATGAAATGAAAAAGGAGAAAGGTAAACAGGTACAGGACTGATTGTCTGAGGACAGAGAAAAGGTTCCAAATAACTAATATTCAGAATGAAATAGATCAAAAAGAGATGCGGCTCACCAGGAAGCACTGAGGCCGAGCCGTGGGGGGCAACGTGAATCTGCATTGGGACCCTCTCAGAGAGTGAACTGACACAACTCTAGCAAAGCTAGTCCATGCACAGGGAAGGGAACAGCACAGAAGAAATGGGCAGCTGTAATTATTTAGATTAATAGCCTGGGAAATTTGTGACAATCAGGAGAAGGAAATCCTGGGAATGAACAAGAATAACATTAAATGGCTACTAGATTGAATGTGGGTTATTCTGGATTAAGTTTTTCACTTAAAAAGTGATTTCAGAAGAAAAAAGCTTTTAGGAAAACTTCATTGCATGATGTGGTTACTACAGTAACTATACTGGGAGTAAAGGGCATCAATACCACTTTTCAATGGTTTTCAGACATTTGTGCAAACACAGTGCGACATTTACAATAAAGATTAGTGAATACTGAAAGATGCTTCTGAGGAAGACTATTTCTATCCGCACAACCCTCACCAACCCTGACCAACATCTCTAATTGATCAGCAGAGTAGCAAACTCTGGGGCACGTGCTGAGAAGCTGCTACCTAGAGTATAAGGCAGCCCTTATTGACTTTAATGAAATCAGTGGTTTAACTGAAGAGTAATCCTTACCTTGTCAGAAAAAGGGGCCTCCACTAATATTAAACCCCCATTTCAAATATAAATACTCAAAGAGAATGAATATATACTCAGTAATTATGTTAATAAGCATAGAGAACAAGAGAAGGGAAAACGGAAAGAATGCACAAACGCCCTTTTGCCTTAATTCAGCCTTAAATAGGTCACCAAGATCCTGGTAACTTCCACATCTGACACACACCAGACAAGGACATAACTCGCTCAACTAAATCTTTTACTTATCTTATTTTTTATCACAATGGAAATTTAACACCATAATGAATGGCAATAACATCAATTTTCATTTCCTTTTCTATTGCAAAATGTCCATGGAGAGTATAATACAAATTACAAGAACATCAACATGAAGAGCAAAGTTGCCTATAAAAGGGGCACTTAAGTGACTGTTAACCAATGGATACCATGATTTAAAATCAACTAACAAGAAGAACAGCAATAATCTTAGCTCTGTAAAATTTCATTAAAATAGATTTTGGTTATTATAAGTTAACACAGAATACTGTTAAACAATACAAAAGAAAGACACAAAAGTAAATTTTCCTAATAAAAATACATTTACTACACTATATTACAACCCTTCTGCCCTTACACAGAAAGCCAATGCTACTAAGAGTGGTCACATGCTACTGTTAAATGCCATTTATCTAAAAAACTAAATTAGACAACATTATAGACCAATATATCCTGAAATACACCTTCAATTGATTAAAAAAAGCCACATTATGATAAACTAAAATGGTCCCATAAAAATTTAAAAGACATATACTAAATAAAGCAGAGGAAAATAGGCTTATTAAAAACATTGAAATTTTATTGCCTACAAATAACCTATACAAGATTAAAATCATTAAGATTCTCAAAATCTATTGTCTCTTTATAGGAAAGAGTTAAAAGAACTGTTACTATGCTTAGCCTAAAAAGCTAATATACAGTAAGTGCCACGATAAAGTATTAAATTCTTCTCCAGTCCAAAAAAATAAGAATTCACAAGACTAAATAAATATGCCATATACAGCTAACATTTTCATGGTAACACAGGGGATCAAAACATAACATTTTGCTTAAAACAATTAGCTGAGGAATCGAAGTACAAATACAAGAATAATTGCTTCCTTTGGGCTTTGGCTGTCAAACACAGGAAATGCCAATGCTTTATAGTCCTGTGATAATTAAACCTTGTCACAGACCTAAACTATCAACAAATATTTATTTAAACATAAATTTTCAATATGACACCAGAAGCACAGCAACAAAAGAAAAAAAACTTTTGTGCTTCAAAATATACCAGAAAGTGAAAAGACAATCCACAAAAGGGGAGAAAGTGTTTACAAATTATGTATTTCATAAGGGACTAGTTTCCAGAATATATAAAGAATGATTACAATTCAACAATAAAAAGACAACCAAATTAAAAAATGGGCAAAAGATCTGAACAGACAATTCTCCTAAGAACTTACGTAAATGGTCAATAAACACATGAAATAATGCTAATGATTAGTTATTATGGAAATGAAAATCAAAACCACAATGAAATACCACTTCACATCTATTAGGATGGTGAAAATCCAAAGACGACTGACAAGAACAAGTCCCTGTGAGGGTGTGAAGTAACTGCAATCCTCATACACTGTCGGTAGGACGGGAAAATATTGCAGCCATTTTTAACAGTTCCACAGAGCTAAACACAGTTACTATATTACCCTGCAATTCCACTCCTATAAGTACACACCTAAAAGAATGAAAACGTATGCCAACACAAAAACTTATACAAAAATGCTCACTGCAGCAACATTCCTAAATAGACAAAAAGTAGATACAAGCCATCAACTGATGAATGGATAGTCAAAATGTAATATACAATGGAATAGTTTTTGGCCATAAAAATGAATGATACATGCTAAAACATGAATAAATCTTGAAAATACTTTGCTAAATGAAAAAAATCGATACAAAAGAACAAATATTGTATGATTCCAATTAATATGAAATGCCCAGAATAGACAAACCCATAAAAACTGAGAGTACATTGTCTAGGGCAATAGGGGAAGAGGGTTTACGGAAAACAGTTATTGCTAAAAGATAAAGGGGTTGGGGGATTATAAAAGTATCTTAAAATTAGATTGTAAGGATTATTATACAACACTGAATACACTAAAAATCATTGAACTGTACACTTAGGGATGACTTTTCTGGTATGTGAGCTTATTTCAGGGCAGCAGTCACTAAACATAAATGAATAAATCTGCAAAAGGGAAATATGTCACAAACATATACAATGCAAAGGTGGTTTCTTCCCTCAGACTAATTCGAATATATGTATCGACTGAGGAGGGAAATGTCATTAAGTTACTCTTTTTTACTTAATACACATCTCCAGATATCAGTTACCAAATTTTAAAGTAGTAAAAATTTGTTTAAAAAATTCTTGTAACATCATTTGCTCCTAAACTTGTTACATTTATTATAAATATACAGTAAGCAGAGTAATATAACTGTTGAATATTTAAGCATCAACTATGATTATTACAGAACTTTAGAAACATCATTTGGTTGAATATTTATTGTTTCAAACACATTAAAAAGTATAATAAAAGAAATCAATGTTTATTTTTAAATATTTTTTCATGTAGCTAGGAAATTTCCTTCAGCTAATCAAACAGGTGTAGTCATCTTTTAAAATATTTTATTGACATTAAAACAATCAAAAAACTTTATTATAACATTTGATTAACCAATGCCTCAATACTTGCACCCCTCCCCCACTGCTGGAGTATATTTAATAATTTTAACATCTATCATGATTAACCAAGGCATTGTTGTATCTACATAAATACTATATAGTTGAAGCAGAACACATTGAGATCAACTCTCCTACTTTTACTCAAAAATAAAAAAGTAAAAACCTTATCTAGTAAAATCATAAGCTTTTGATATTCTTAACTACAGACATCTATCAAATTTATCATATTATAATGTTATCACAAAGAAACTGGACTAGTCCAGATAGGAAACAGCATAGGACTTGACAAGAGTACTGGTCTTCATACTGGCTTATTGTGGTGAACAGAACCTAATGTAAGGAGAACTGAAGTACTGCAGAGCTATAGAAGAAATGTATACTAGTATCAACAGCTAACAGAAAACTGCTACAAAAATCTTAGGCAGGAAAAATCCTGTTTCATTCACAAAGTATTAGCATTTCTGCTAATAAGACTATTTCTTTCTCTGAACTCTTTTAAATACATAGGCTGCACACTAAAAGAATTTTCTGAATACAATGTGTAGAAAGAATCAGAAGGAGAGCAGAATAAATATAAAGAGAAGAAATTCCCAGTGCCAGGTAAAAATTTTAAAAATATAAATTATAATTATCACTTACAGTGGCTATTGAAAGTGTCATTAATGTTACACACATGTAAACTTAAGTAACATGCAAACTATTTAATATGAAAAGTATGTACTTACCAAATATTTAAATAGCCTTGTAAAAATCCCGCTGATGGTTGAAACTCCCTAAATAAAAAAATAAGAAGAAACAATTTTTCAACTTCAAAAGTTAACCCTACTCTGTAAAATCTAGCCAAGAATCCCATTTATGAGAGCAAAGTCTTTTTCACAACACTTTAAAACCCAAATCACATGCTGAAACTTTGACACATGATAAATATAAAATGTTTTTCTAATCTTGTAAATAATTGAGATTTAATAGTATAATATAAAAAAAAACTAACAAATTATTAAGATGTTAGTAGAATTTACTAGATTACCAAAACAGTGATTGCTATAATAAACCAGATTTTAAAAATTACAAACCAAGATAACAGCATGCTAACAATGTCTTAGAGAAGCATTCATATGCTGAATTCTTGGCTATCAATATACAATGTTATAGTCTACATTCCAGTATTAGTTACCACCTTTGAAGTGGTACCCACACAATCTAACTAACATCTACAGAGTTAAAGCAGAGCCAATGTCTTGGAAAGATATTTTACAAAGTGTTTATTTTCATTTAAAAATTAACATGAGAAAGCATTTTAAAATCCACCCTATGTGAGTACTAAAAAAAAAAATTAAAATATTTTAACCACAATAAAAAGAAATGTATAAACTGACAAATTAATTTTACTATTTACCAAAGTTAGCTATAAATAATTTTATAATAAACACAGTACAAGTCTCAAGTCAAAACAACCTTCAAAATAAAGTTCAAAAATTCAGTAATAAAGCACTAAATATTTTAGAGGTCTTATTCTTTGTCAGGCACGTTCCTCAGGTCTGGAAAAATACTTATACACATTTTTTAAATCAACTCATTTAACTCGCCATATTATAGACAAAAAAGCCAAGCCTTATAGAGATTAAGTCATCTGCTTAAATATAGCAGCTGCCTTTGACTGCAAATCCCATGTCTTTAAGGCACTATACTATGACTCCTCAAAAAACAAACAAGTAAAACAGAACATGAAATAATGAGAAGTAAAACTGAGTGCCTTTTTTAAAGTCAGAAAAAAACAAAACAGATGTTTTTAAATTCCTTTTAAAGAATCTTCAGAATAAAAAGTCATCTATCTGGCCCGACCAGGCATGGCTCAGTGGTTGAGCACTGATCTATGATCCACGAGATCAGGGTTCGATTTCCGGCCAGGGCACATGCCCGGCTGCCAGCATGATCCCCAGTGGGGGACGTGCATGAGGAGGCCAATCAATGACTCTCCCATCATTGATGTTTCTATCGCTCTCACCCTCAATAAAGATATATTTTTAAAAAAGAAAAAAAATCACCTATCTTAACTAGCATAAAATGCTACCATACTCAAAATTACAATGGCATATGTAAAATTAAAATAAAAACATTTTCTAATGAGTAAACCACACCAATAAGATTTCTATCACTACTACTGCTAAAATCAAAACCAGTCAAATGAATTACATCTATATCCACAAGCCATGGAAAAGGGGGGAAGAAAAAGTATATTAGAGACCTAAACAATAGTTTAAAACAATAAAGTTTAAGACAAAGTTTCTATAAGATGAGAGGAAAGTATCATCAAAATTTTGAGGTAGGCACAGGTTTTTAAAGACAGAAATATCAAAAGAAAAGAACTGGACTTTATTAGCATAAAAAGTTGTTCTGTAAAAAGTAAAAATGAAAACTACAGAATAGAAAAAAATATCAATGCACATGTCCAACAAAGAATTCATATGCAAAATATTTTTTAAAAACCTTATATTACTAGGAAAAAGACAACCTAATTTTTAAGATAGACTAAAGACCAAACAAAAATTCACAAAAGATAATTTCAAAACATATTGACAAGGTGCTCAATGCCTCTAATCATAAGGAAAATACAGATAAAAACATAATTAGGTACTATTACCCACCAAAATGGCAACTTTTTACTGGAAAAAAAACAAAAACAGATAATATCAAGTGTAAGTAAGAATGTGCAGTAACTGGCATAATCATACACTGCAGTAGAAATGTAAATTGGTATAACCATTATAGACAACTATTTGGAAGTATCTACTAAAGGTGAAAATACATATAGCCTATGACTAAGTACTACTACCCCTGTGTATGCAATCAATAGTTATGTACACACATGTGCACAAAATGGTATGTACAAGATTTATCATAGCAGCAGTACGTAAAGAGCCCAGAACTGAACAGAACCTAAATGTCCATCAGCAGTAGAAGGGAGAAATAAGCTAGTATATTCATACAATGGCTTCCTAAATCTCAGTGAAAATGAGAAAACTGATGTGACACACAAAATAGAACACATCTCACAAACACAGTACTGTGTGAAAGAAGCCGGAGGGGATGACGTGAATTTTTTTTTTTTTAATTAAATTCAAAAACAAGCCAAACTAATGTCTGATCACAAAGTCAGAACAGCAGTTACCTTTGGGATGAAGGGATTATTTGACTAGCACAGGACACAGGGAGGCCTCGGAGGAGTTGATATGTTGATCTAGGCTATAGTTAAATGTACCTTCAATGTGTAAAAGTTCATCAATATAGAAAAGTTTATCAATCAGTTTTTGTAAGTAAATTTTACTTCAATTACTCTAAAATTTTATTAAAAAAAGTTTTAATAGAATAGATGAAAAATTATGTTATGTGCCACTGACTCAGTTCCAACTCCTGGCAACCCTATGAATGAGTGATGTCTACAATGTCCTGTCCTCAAAAGCCCTGCTCAGCTCCTATAGACTCATGCCTATGACTTCTTTTATGGAGTCAATCCAGATAAAAAAGTACTTCTCAGTGAAATAACTTCAGGTTACCATGCTAATGATACAAAGCTCACTAATTTGAAAATCTAAATTTCCTAATAATATATTTTAATTTATTTCTACTGACTGTATAAAGGTAAATTAAATATGTCTGGTCATTTTGCATTAAAGTTTTAAGAATAGTTTCAATATAAATATAAATTTTACCAGCAAGAGGTTTCTTATGATTTTCTTTAACAGCAGAGAATGTTTTACATGAAATCTTGCTAATACCTGATCTTCAAAGGCTCAAGTTAGGTTTACAAATGTGTAATTTCATACACATATTAAAAGTATTGATAACTAACTCAGAAATTGATTTCAAAAGCAATCAGATGGCAAGTCAGGCATTCATAAAAATTTTAAGGCAAACTACTTGGCCCTGTTGCTTAGAAAATCTTAGACTTTTTAAAACCAATAACCTTTTGAAGAAAAACCTTGCCAATAAATATTCTTATATATCTGAAAAACTTTTAGGTTAATATTTACAATGGTACCTTTATTCGAAATATAAACAGTTCTATCTGTATTTCCTTTTATCCTATTTTATCTGTTATATGTACCTAAAAACTATGTTTTTTTAAACTAACCAACTTCTTTTTCCTCTCTCTAAATTAAATAACATCATTATTTGATCAGATTTGAAAACTTTTATCCTGATGGAAACCCGTCTTGTTACTTACACAACCTATTTGTCTTGAGCTGTGGGACTTTTTTGTTGTATGAGTCTCTAAGACAACAGTCAGAGGAACAGGATGGCATAGGCCCCAAAAAGCCAGTTCCCAGAACAACTCCCAGAGGCTGAGCATCCTTTGGACAAACTTTACTTTAGACAACTCATCAATACCTTACACAATAACTTTCCTCAGTTTTGAGTTGTTTTATCTCTAAGATCCTGCCCTGGTACAGATCTGTCCAAACCTTCAATCGGCCAGGAACCTTGGCCGCCCAGTTTCTACTTGAAGATAGCCAACTACTGGGTTGTAGTTCTGAGATATAAGGCTCACAAGCAACACTTTCACAAAACTTATTTTTTTAATCAGTCTAACCACTCCACCCCACTCCCGGCCCTCAAGCCAGACACCTGCTTCTCCTAATTCTGGCACTTTTCTTTTTTTTTTTTTTGGCACTTATCTTTCTAAATGGTGTATTTTCACCAAGAATGCTTAAAACTTACAGTTCCCTCTTTGGGTAATTTTTGATATAAACACAACTGTTAATTTAAGAGGCACCTCAGAACAAAAAAGGGACACCCCCCCCC